TCCATCCACACTCGCACCTCGGGCAGAAATAAGAGGATCACAGCGCTTCACCTGATGTGAGGCTGAACCTGTGAGTCAGCACAATAACACTTTCACACACTGTCGCTGAAACCTCTGCAGATTTCCTGATTCAGGACAGGCGCTGAAGTAACATGAAGACTAAACTAAAAGTCTAGATTAACGGCCGGAAGTCTTCACACGCCAAGAATAAATTTTTTAAGTATTTTCTAAGTCAAAGTTTGTTTAAAGTTTCTCATGTACCCATGAAGTTTTAAACCACCTGTAATTTATTAACTTTCCTGTAGTTCTTTAAAATATTCTTGATCAACTATTCTGAACTTGGCAAAAGGTCATTCTCCTACTCCGCTCCTGTTTCCTGGAATATCTTGCAAAAAGATCTGAAGATCTCGACCTTGACCTCTCTAAGTGACTTCAAACATCTGTTAAGTTCCTGGGAAAAACCAACGCAGACATGTTCCTGTTTTTAGTTTTCTACACCTCCTTATAACCTAGCTGTTTTTTCTCTGTTTCTTTCTCCTTTTAATTTTCCATCCATTTTCTTTACCCGCTTCTTCCATTTTGGGTCACGGAGGTCACTGGTGCCCATGTCCAGCAATCACTGTACAAGAGGCGGGGGACACCCTGGACATGTCTCCAGTCCATCACAGGGACACATAGAGACAAACAACCATTCACTCTCTCACTCACATAGGGACAATTTAGAGTTACCAAAATGTGTTAAAAACAGTTCATCTTTCAATTTATTAAGAGACACCTTTCAGTTTTATTTTTATATTTGATAAACCACATCAACTGGTTAAAGAGTGTTTAAGAGCCTGGTGTTTAATTTTTAAATAGCATCCCTCAGCACTCCTCATTCTGAGCTGTTTGTCCAACATCAGTGAGACATCTGTCAAGTAAACTGTAGGTAGATTAGTGGGACGGTGGGTGTAATGTAGAGCAGGTCCTGCAGGATCTGGGTCATAATGAGGTAATGTTCTGGGTCAAGTCAAAGCAGCGCTGACCCAGTTCTGACTGAAGAAGATGAGTGGGTCATCAGGTGCTGTCAGGATCATAAACAGATGTAAGAGATTAGGCTATGTTCCATCTCAGGAGATTTTTATTTATCTCACTGTGAAATAATAACCAAGTGTCTGATCTTGAACATAAAATTTAATTTAATTCATGTAGGATGTGAAGATTAACTTCTTGGTACCGATTCACAGACGTGTGCGATGCGACTGCATGAGTAGAGCAGCCCTATTGGATTAAATCTAGATTTACTGGTTTATTGAATCAGTGATAAAATCTAATCTGTGTAATAAATAAAGGACAGCTGGAGGTTTGTTTTCAGGATTCTACTAACACATAAAGCACGTTTGTGTCAGAACCGATTCTTGTCTTCCAGCTGCTTTCCCTGCTGTTTGTGTTGTTTTCTCTTTAGTGACACCTACAGGTCAGGAGGAGAACTGCAGCAGCGCTGGTGGAAACAGCAACAAACACTGAACATGAACTGAAAGCTGTGCGTCAATTCACATTTTAGGAAAGAAGGTTAGCTTATGTTTTAATCGTAATAGTCTTAAAATACATTTTGAGCTACTAGGAATATAAATACAGCTGCTGCTTGGCAGCTTTATTATTTTAAATAATCTCTTATAAGGCAACTTATAAGACTTATATCAACTTATAAGGCAGTTTCATTAATAAAAACTTGTGGTCTTCCCTCCTAGTTGAAGACCACGAGGGGGGAAACGTGTCAGGAGACAGAGGAAGAGGAGGAAAGTCAAGAATCTAGGACTGAAGATGGCAACACTAAATGTTGGGACAATGACAGGCAAAGGTAGAGAGCTGACTGACATGATGCAGAGAAGGAAGGTACATGTTTTATGTGTCCAAGAGACCAAGTGGAAGGGCAGCAAGGCTCGCAGCATTGGAGCAGGGTTCAAACTGTTTTACCATGGTGTGGATAGAAAGAGAAACGGAGTAGGGGTGGTCCTGAAGGAGTTTGCAAAGAACGTAGTAGAGGTGAAGAGTGTCAGATAGGGTGATGTGCCTGAAGGATCTCTTTGTCTATTTTTAAGACTTGTGTGAAAATCTGATGATATTTTAAGACATATTTATGCAGAAATATAAAAAATTCTAAAGGGAATTACAATCTTTCAAGCACCACTGTATGATGTTTGCAGATGACATTGTGATCTGTGGTGAGAGCAGGGAACCGGTGGAAGAGAACTTAGAGAGGTGAAGGTATGCACTTGAAAGAAGAGGAATGAGAGTCAGATGTAGTAAGACAGAGTCCATGTGTGTGAATGAGAGGGAGGAGGTGGAACAGTGAGGCTACAAGGAGCAGAGGTCACAAAGGTGCAGGACTTCAAGGACTTGGGGTCCACTGTCCAGGAAAATGGGGAGTGTGGTGAAGAGGTGAAGAAGAGAGTCCGGGCAGGATGGAGTGGATGGAGAAAAGTTTCAGGAGTGATTGGCAACAAAAGAGTGTCAGCAAAGGTCAAAGAAAAGTTTACAAGACAGTGGTGAGACCAGCTACGTTGTATGGTCTGGAGACAGAGACATGGACAAAAAGACAGGAGACAGAACTGGAAGTAGCAGAAATGAAGATGTTGAGGTTCTCCTTAGGAGGGACAAGGATGGAGAAGATTAGGAATGAGATCATCAGAGGTACAGCACAGGTTGAACAACTGGGAGATAAAGTTAGAGAGACCAGACTGAGATGGTTTGGACATGTCCAGATGAGGGACAGTGGTTTGGACATGTCCAGAGGAGGGACAGTGGGTATATTGGTAGAAGGATGTTAGAAATGCAGCTGCCAGGACAAAGACAAGGAGAAGATATATGGATGCAGTTAGAGACATGGAGGTAGTTGGAGTGAGGACAGAGGATGCAGAGGACAGAGATGGCGGAGGATGACTCGCTGTGGAGACCCTGAAGAAGGAAGAGCAGAAAGTTATGATAATATTGTTATAAGTAATATATACGTATATATGTATTAATTTCAGGCCATGTTATGTTCTGATGATCAGGATTGTTCCGTGGTCTTCCTGTTTGAGATTAGCTGGAGAATCTCCAGCAGCTTCGTGACGTGGCTCTTATGAAACAGCAGATGTAGGTGAGACGGATCTGAGCCGCTGTACATCTGAGCATTAGATTAGGACGGTGTTTTGTTTCCCGCCTCGCTGTCAGAATGTGCTGCTTCAGCAGCCTCAAATCACATCGGTGTCTCTGGGTCATCCAGAACTCCACACTAAGTTCACTTTTTGTTTTTGCTTCTCTTTTGCCTCAGTTATCTGGTGTGAACCTCTCTTCAGTACTGATTTATGTTATTGTTGTGATAGCTTCAAACTGTTGGCCCAGTCAACTCTGAGGTGTTCTAATAGTTAGCACCTCATCAGCCATGTCTCCCTCAGAGAGAGCGACAGACCTTCCAACAGTTGCAGCTGTACTGGCTCAATATTTTCCTAACAGAGCACTTCAATCCCAGGCTGCAGATTGTCTCCCCACAGACCGAAAAAATTCTGGAGAAAATAGTTGCAGGTCAGTTACGTGATCATCTGCAAAGAAATAATCTGTTAGAAGAGTTTCAATCAGGGTTTAGAGCTCATCATAGCACTGGTGAACGTTACTAATGATGTTCTCATGGCCTCTGACAACGGACAGGTGTCTACACTGGTCCTGTTAGACCTCAGTGCTGCATTTGATACAGTTGATCATAACATTGTATTACAGAGACTTGAATACGATGTTGGGATTACAGGAATGGCTCTAAAATGTAAATCATATTTATCTGATAGATTCCAGTTTGTAAATGTAAATAATTAATCTTCTTCTTACACCAAAGTTAGTCATGGAGTTCCTCAGGGTTCATTGCTTGGACCAATAAAGATTGAATCAATGAATGAATACTCTTTACTTTATATATGCTTCCATTAGGTAAAGTTATTAAACAGCAAGGGATACATTTTTATTGTTATGCTGATGATACGCAGTTATATTTGTCCATGAAACCCAATGAATCCAATCAGTTACTTAGACTACAAGCATGTTTTAAAGACATAAAAATATGGATGTTCCTTAATTTTCTGCTTTTAAACTCAGACAAGACAGAGGTTTTGGTTTTTGGACCTGAGCATCTTAGGAATATTTTTTCAGTGTTTCACCTTCTCTAGATGGAATTATCTGGCCTCCAGTGCTAATGTTAAAAATCTTGGTGTCATGAGTTTTTTTCTTCCTTTCCACTGTTGCCTCTGTGCTTGTTTAGGATGGGAGACTGTACCGAAGTAAACTCAAAGAAATTTACTGGCTCCTCCGAAAAATAACGTTATTAACTGACTTTATGTATGTGAATGTTTCTGTGCAGTGCCCTGAGACGACTTCTGTTGTGATTTGGCACTATATAAATAAACTGAATTGAATTGTGGGACTTATGGTTCCTAGAGTTTCTAAAAGTGGAACAGATGCCTTGAGATAACTTTTTAAGTGGCACTGTAGACATAAATTGATCTTCTTTTTAACGACCCTTAAAGCTTTCTTATTATAGACGTGTTTCGTTGTTTATTGACTTTCAGACAAAAGTCCAGAGAAGAAAGTTGGCTTCAGCAGGATGGAGCTTCAGGGGGTCCTGGCCTAAATCTGTCACCGTCCAAATCAATAAAGATGATCGGAGTCAATCCTCAGTGATGCTGCGTGCTGATTGGTTGATCCTGTAGGCCCCACCCCTCTTTCTTCTCCTGAGTGATAACAGCACAAAGAAATAACACCTCAGACTCCCGAGAGCTTCACATGTTGCAGTGGGCAGGTGTCATCTTTTCAAACTGGTACTGGACTGAGTTTTGGTTCCTGAACGCCTCACTGGTCCTGAAGCAGGTTCATACGGATTGGGTCTCTTTGTTTTTAGACCTGTTTGGAGGTGTTACACAGATCTGGGACCAGTTTGGGTTGGTTCGTTGGACTGTGTGGAGACATTAAGCTGATCTGGGACCTGGTTCGGGATGGAGCTGAAGGACTTCTGTCTGTCTGGCTATCACTTCTTCAGCCCTCAGAGGTGAGTTCATTCATCTGAAGTCTGGGCTCATTTACAGCAACACGAGTTGTAGAACATTAAGATTTGTCCGTTTCTAAAAAGTTGTTCTTCACGAGATGTTTTAGTGACTTTATCCTCAATAAAACCTCCGCTGCTAACTTGAACCACCAAATATCCTGATGCATGCTCAGTAATCCAGGTAGAAAAATCTAAAAGTGTTTAATCTGGTCCTCTGGACATTCAAAACTATTTTTTTGTTTTGTTTTTCTGAATGTCCAGAGGACCAGATTTAACTTTGTAAGATTTAACCATCAAACTGTTATGACAAAAGATTCAAAAAATTGAGTCTAACTTCAAAACTGCAGCAACGCCTTCAAAATAAATTACTTTGTTTATAAAAGGAAATGCTTTTTTATTCTTTAAATCTAAAACTTGGCTTCATCCAGATGTGAAAAACAAACAATGAGTTGATTTAATTTAAAGAGCCGAGGGTCTGGATCAAGACTTTTGGACTGGATTTTATTAAAAATTGATCCCCAAACTAAAAAATGCTGAACTTGAATATGTGTTGTCTCCATCAGCAGTAATGATCCATTTCTTCTTCCTCCATAGCCTTCTGGACTCCTCCTCTTCCTCTTCTCCTGTTGATGAAGCTCAGTCTCCCTCTTCCTTCTCCTTCGACTCGTCTCCTCTCAGCCCTTCTGCAGCCTTCCTCCTCCCCAGCCCAGCCTCTTCCTCCTCATGCAGTCTCCTCTGTGGAGGTCTGACGCCCGACCCCCCAGCAGGACGTAGATCCAGAGGAGGAAGCACCTCGGTGTCCAACTCTGCATTTTCTATTTCAGTGAAGGTAACAAACATGAGTTTAATCACTCAGTCCTACATTCAGCCCCTGCTGTTACCAGGAGACCAAACATCTGGATCTAAGCTGTGGTGGTCCTCAGGTCCAGTCTGGTTTTCAGCATATTGGACTGATTCACAACCAAAACCCTCCCAGAGAACAGCTTCAAGTTAGTAAGACCTGTCACTTCTCATGTCAGAGTTGTTCAGGTCAAACCTGGGAAATAACGTTCTGAGAGACCTCACAGGATCTGTTAGTGCTCAGAGTACGGGATGGGGACAGCTCAGCCACTACCACACCAAACTGTACATTAATGACGAAAACTGAGTTGAATCCATAAGCCGGGGTCAGAACATCAACCTGCCTTTGGCTGCTGCTCACGGCACACCATGGTCCACAAAGCCCCTCCTGCAGGTGGTGGGCCCACAGGAAGGAAAACCCATGGAACTCATTGGGTAACCATGCACCTCCCCCAGGCCTGGTTCCAGGATGGGACCCTGGCAGATGAAGGACACTGAGCTCCTTGTTCTCTTTGGTCCATGTGTAAATTGCTGTTTGACCCGACTTTCTCCTGGGACCAGTCTGGGAGACCCAACCAGCAGAACTCACAGGATCATTCAGGCACACGAACTCCTCTGGGATAAGGTGGAGGTTCACAAAGGAGAAAAGTGTGTGTGCTGGACTGGTCAAATGGTAACTGAGAAGAAAATATAAACAATTCATTATCTTTTACCCTCTTCTCCCTTTTCTGGTCGTGGGGGTCAGTGGTGCCCATGTCCAGCAATCACTGTGCGAGAGGCAGGGGACACCCTGGACAGGCCTCCAGTCCAGCACAGGGACACGTAGAGACAAACAACCATTCACTCTCTCACTCACACCTATTTAGACCATTTAGAGTCACCAGTCAGTCTAACATGCATGTTTTTGGTCTGTGGGAGGAAACCGGAGTACCCGGAGAAAACCCATGCATGCACGGAGAGAACATGCAAACTTCACCCAGAAAAGTCCTGGGTCTGGGATTTGAACCAGTAACCTTCTCACTGAGAGGCAACAGGTCTACCAGCTGAGCCACCGTGCCGCCCCAATTTAAACCATGATTTTTAAAACACCAGTGAGTCTATTAAAATAATGTTCGAACTACTGGTTTTATTTTGTGTATTTATTTTTCCTGTTCTGTTGGTTTTCTTCAGGTGGACTCTATGCTGAGGGGAGACTACCGGACCCCGGTGGGGTCTCTGGTGTCCAAACGTCTGTGTCTGGTCTGTGGAGACTTTGCCTCTGGTTATCATTACGGCGTGGCGTCCTGTGAAGCCTGCAAGGCCTTTTTTAAGAGGACCATACAGGGTGAGGGCAGCTGCAAGAAACCTCCCAGCTCTGGTCTGTTATACGGTTAACTCATGTAATTACACAATTACCTCAGGGCACTTTGGAAAAAGTAAACAAGTTAAACTAAATTACTGCAAATCTAATTTTTACAAGCGTTATGTTCTGTATGGAGTTTACTTGTTCTCTCTATATCTGTGGTTTTCTCTGAATATTTCGGTTTTCTCCCACAAACCAACAACATTCATGTTAAAATATCGTAAATTTGACATTCCAAATGATGGCACAGATTGTCGTGTAAAGAGCTTGGGGTATTTTGATCAGATAGAAAAGTGTTATACGAGTACAGTCCATTTACCATTCCAAACTGGCTCTTCTTAAGGAGACTACTTTTTTTAGCCCCCATCATTTGTTGCTTTAGTCACAGGAGAACACTGTACAGACACATTTTAACTACATTATATATTTTACAAATTTATTTTAAAATCCTGTCCTTATTTAGAAATTTTTTCTAGTTATAATTTATGGTAAATGGACTGACTGTACTTATATAGCACCTTTCTATCTTGTCAAGATACTCAAAGTGCTTTACAATATAATCTGTGCCCTCATTTACCCATTCATACATGATCTGTACAAAGACTAATCAGAGCTTTATCACAGTCATACACCGATGGGACACGCATCGACAGTTATGAGGGGTTCAGTGTCTTACCCAGGGACACTTCAGCATGTGACTGATGGTGGAATCAAACCCCCAACTCTTGCATTGGAGGACGACTGCTCTTACTACTCAGCCACAGGCTAATATGAGTACTTAGGCCCAGTCCACAGTACTGTGCAGTTTTGAAACAAATTTCTGCTGAATTTGCTCCTTCCGGTATTGTTGTGAATTTGGTGCTACTTAAATTTACCATGTTGGATTAAAAATGTTGAAATAGTTTCTTAAAGATACATTTTAAAAGATCCACCAGCTTGTTCCAAAGTCAGTTCTTGAGGGCAGCAGCTTGAGCAGGGACGTCCAAAGACTTTTCCCCCAGCCACCTCTTATGGGAGGACTCCAAGGCGTTCCCAGGTCAGCCGAGAGACATAGTCTCTCGAACGTGTCCTGAGTCTTCCCCGGTGTTTTCTACCAGTTGGATATGCTAATCCTCCCTAGGGAGGCGTCCAGGGAGTATCCTTACCAGTTGTCCGAACCACCTCAACTGAGTCCTCTCGGTGTGTGTGGAGGAGTTATGGCTCAACTCTTGAGTCTCTCCCGGATAACTGAACTTCTCACCTTACCTCTAAAGGAGAGTCCAGCTGCTCTGCCGATATTTCAAGCATGGACTTGTGAAAGTCAAGAAAACTCATTTTGAATGACTGAGTCCTGAATTTACATATCCAGACCCTTTCACCCCCGACTGCGTCAAGAAATTCTGTCCATAAAGTTTTTAACAAAATAAGTGACGACGAACAGCCCTGGTGGAGTCCGACTATTGAGTCTGATTACAGCTGGCAATGAGACAAAGTCATGCACGTTTATATAGGGACTGAAAGGCTTGTAGCAGCGAACCCCAGTCCCATTTTCGTGGAGCACTTCCCACAGGGTACTTCAGGGAATAAAGGAATTTGCCTTTTCAAAGTCAAAACACTTGTAGACTGGTTGGGCAAACTCCCAGGCCTCCTTATGGACTCTAATGAGGGTAATGAGGTGACCCAGTGTTTCACGACCAGGACGAAACCCGAGTTCTTCTTCCTGTATCCAAGGTTTGACTATCAACCGGATTCTCTTCTCCAGCACCTTGATTAGACCTTATTGAAGCTGAGGAGAGTGATGCTCCTGTAATTGCAACACACCTTCTGGTCTTCGTTCTTAAAGAGGAAACCACTACCCAAATCTATTAATCCAGTAAATACCTTAGCAACCTCAACCCTAATTAGACAGACCCACCCCAAAGTCCAAGACTCGGCTTCCTCCATGGAAGACTTGCTGGAGGGCTTGAGGTTCTCCAAGTATTCCTTCCATTGTCCAACAACATCACTGGTTGAAATATACAGCACCCCACCTCCATTTTACAGTGTGGGTGAAGTACTGCTTCCCCCACCTTAGGGGACTGACTTGTAGCCAATCAAAAGTTTTTATCTCACTCAACTCCCACATTCAAGTCTTTGCTTAAGCAACAGCCAAGGCTGCAGCTTGCATGGCCCATAGTTACCCCTCAGCTGCTTCTGGAGTCCTACAAGCGATCAAGTCCTGATAAAACATCTTTAGCTTGACGGCCTCCCTCACTCGAGGTGTCCACCACCAGATTCGATGATAATAATAATAATAATGTCATCACAATGTCAGCACTGTATGTTTCCATACAATGGCGAAATTAGTCTCTGCATTTAACCCATCCACCACCAGGTGGTGCAGTGGGCAGCTATTGAAAGCGCCCGGTGGCATTTTTGGGGATGAGGTGTGCTGCCCAGAGACACCACGTGATATGCAGTGACTGGGGATCGAACCTGGGACTTTCGGGTCCCAAGCCGGCTGCCCTGCCTCTACACCATCTCGGCCCCTGCAACAAGAGGAACAAACAACCTTGCAATCACAGCTGTGGGCAGCTTCCTTGAAAATGGAGACATGGAACAGGGGCCACTTACACTCAATGTCCCCCACGTCTGCTGGGATGGGGTTGAAGTTCTGTTGAAAAAGAGAGTTGAAGATCGTTCCTACAGGACACCCTTTCATTTGAACATTGTGTTTGTCATGGAAAAGAACACAACTATTACAGAAGTCTAACAACAGAACACCGCTTGGGTTCACATCAGAGACCATTCCTCCCAGTCACACACTTCCAGGTTACACCATTGTAAGAATAGAGGTCCCCCAGCAGAATGATGGAGTACCATCGGGAGCGCCTTTCAGTACCTAACACAACAGTTGAGTCTATCCTCCCAATGTGAAGGCGTAGGGAAACCCCTCTCATCTACCAGTGAAAACTCCAGCACACAGGCACCATGGGGCTGTAAGTAGACCCACAGCAGCCTGGTGCCTCTCACCATGGACAACTCTGGAGCCAACGATGGACATCAACCTCCTTGTATTCTTCTGTCCATACGTGAATTTCAGTGTTTCTGTTACAAGAAGTTAAGCAGGAAACATTCATCAGTATAAAAACTTATCCAGGGTAGAATATTCATAATTTTAATATTTTAATAAATGTTTTTTTTGTCTCTTTTACAGTTTCATAGAATTTTGGAAATATCTGGACTGATCACAAGTCCATGCTGCCAAATTTAACTTTTGTTCTGATAGCTCTTATGAGTTCTTTGTTAATATCACAAAAAGTTGAATTATTACTGAGAAACCAATTTATAATCAAATATTTATTATTTGAATAAAAAGTCGAAGAATGATAAAACACAAAACCTTTACAAAAATAATTCAAACTAGAAATGACTTATAAACTACAGTCAACACAAAAAATTCAAATAATCCATTCGAACCATGAATTCCTGATAAATTTATGGGTAGATATTTAAAATAATACGAGTCTGTGGAGTCGGGAAGTGTTCAGTCGTGTAACTCTGAAGAGGTGCATTAATAATCAGAGCAGATTAATGCGTGGCGCCTGTAACATTGATTTGTGTGTGAAGCCATTAGTCCACAACATCAGCTGCTTGTTTCTCTCTTCAGCTGGATTCAGACTCAACATCAAGCTGGAAAACAGCTCGGCGGTCTCCTCTTAACCCTGTTGTGTAAACCGGATCAATAACCGTGTCAATAACCGGAGCGTTGAGAGGAGACGCCATAGATTTATGTGTGAAAATACCAGATAAGATCTAACTAAATTAAATCAGGTCCGGTAGATGGATTTTTAAAAATTATTGAAGCGTTTCTTTATCCAAAAGACTTTGTCAGTCTGAGGAGCTGCAACAAACTCAGTCTTATAAATAGCATCTTCTCATAGTGGATCGACCAGTTTGCAGGTGACATCCAGAACCAGCTGTTCACATGATAAAGGACCAGCAGCCTAACGACCCATCGTTAATGAGTTTAGTGCATCTCCTCAGACTGACAAAGTCTTTAGGATAAAAGACGTTTCAACAGTTTTTATTTATTTTAATCTGTTCAGACAACCGGACTTAACTTTGTTAGAATCTTCTACCTGGATTATTGAGCATGCGTCAGGATAGTTTAAGATAATTTAGACCTTTTGAACTGAGGTTTATCTTTGCTGTAGTTTGAACCACTTCAATTTGGAGAAACAGTTTAAAACTTTGACTAAAGATTCCCCCAAAACTCCAGCTTTACTTTGATCCTGTTACAGCTTCTACTCATAATCAATTCAGAAAAATGATCAGTTTAATAACAACAGAATCAGAATAAAGAGAGACAAATGGAGAAAGAAGAGTGAGAACGGCTTTACTGTTGTTGTGGTTTCTAGAGCCCAAAGTGACAACAGGAACAAAATAAGTTGTCCTTTTCGGGTCATGATGGGTCACTGGTGCCCATATCCAGCAGTCACGGTGCGAAGGGCGGGGGACACCCTAGACAAGTCTCAAGTCCATCACAGGGACACAGAGACAAACGAGACAACCATTCACTCTCTCACGCTCACTGAGGGACAACTACCAATCAGCCTAACATGCATGTTTTTGGTCCGTGGGAGGATCTAGCGACCTTCTCGTTGAGAGGCGGCAGCTCTACCAAATGTGTCACCGTGCCGCCCAACAGCTAAAACATAAAACCTATTATTGCTGAGTGGGGTGAATAAAACAGGTCCTTGCTGCAGACGTTTTAACGAGTTTTGTGTTTTGTGAAGGCGACATCGAGTACAGCTGCCCAGTAATGAACGAGTGTGAGATCACCAAACGGAGGAGGAAAGCTTGCCAGGCCTGCCGCTTTCAGAAGTGTCTGCGAGCCGGGATGATGAGGGAGGGTAGGTCTGATCCAGTCCTCGCCTCCTCCAATAACACAGACCTCCCTGTAATCCTTTAAAGTGATCCTGAACTTCAGGTCTTTCAGAGGTTTTCTTTAGACTTTGGCTGCTTCTCTCATTTTGAGTACATGACCATCAACTATTGTGCTATACTTGGGTAAACGCTGGTCCATCATTATGTTTTAGGGGTGCGTTTGGACCGGGTCAGAGGGGGACGTCAGAAGTATAAAAGGCGGTTGGAGACAGGGGGGACTTTATGCACCAAGATCCTGGACAGTTCTCCTGGCAGTGAGTATCTTTGTTCTGAAGGTTTTGAATCTGGGTAAACTGTTTTTTTAACCATCCAGTGTCTGTCTTTCAGGAAACAAGCTGATCTCCCATCTACTGCTGACAGAACCCGCCCCACTGGCTGCCAACCAGGACAATTCAACCAACGACAGCAGCCTGCGGACCCTACTGACCCTCTGTGACCTTCTGAACCGGGAGCTGCTGGTTCTGATAGGCTGGGCGAAACAGATCCTAGGTACACACCACTTGAGACTGTGTCCTCTCTGAAAAACAACGGTTAAGGTTTAAACTATGAACACACTGCACATCAGAGTACCAGAGCACAACAATGGTGGTGCAGTGGTAGGGTATACAACTTGAGCCTTGTCCATATGTTGTGGTGTCCATGAGGAAGACACTGAGTCCCCACCTGCTCTCCAGATGCTTACATAGCTGCTCCACTTGGGTGTACCTCATGTGTGATGGGTCATTGTATGGGAACGTAAAAGGACGACAACACAAAGCACTTTCACCACAAAGACTCGACTCACTGAACACAATCATGAAATACAAGTACCACAAAGACACTAACTTAAAGACAATTTAAAGACAGAAACATGTAGGACACTTGCAAAGACTCGCAAGTCAACAACAAAAAGACTTGATTCAAGAACAAAAAACTACAAGACATGTACAACGACCTTATAGGTGACTATAAAGACAATAAGTTTAGGCTATAACTTGAGTTGAGCAAAAAACACTCAAGAGGACCACAAGAGTCAACAGACAACCATAAAAAGACTCAACTACGGAACAAGTCAGGCGCTACTGAAGCCCATGAAATGCCTTGATGTGACCCCGAAACGACTTGAAACAACCACAGATTCACTCAGACCTGTCAGAGGACTATAAAGACTAGAACACAGACCCACTCAGACCTGTCAGAGGACTATAAAGACTAGAACACAGACCCATTCAGACCTGTCTGAGGTCTAT